ATATAATTAATCTAAAATGCAAAATAGTAATCATGAGTGTAAAATTAACATGTAATAACATAAAAGTTACATTAAAATACCGTAATAATATTAATTAAACCAACTTAAAGTAAAAATTAAATGTATAATTAAACATAAAAATATGTTTTAACTATAAAAAAATCACAATATTATGTTGAAGCTATTTCATACCTCCTGATAATGAATAGAAACTTCACAAACATAATGAGTTTATTCTTACTCTGTATTCAACCTCAATCCCATCTAGTTTTGGGATCGGCCCCTCAGGTATACCTTCTCCAATAATTTATATCCGTCTCCCTCATGACATGACCTATCCTATCCTCAGTTCCGTTTTTTAACGCCCTCTGCTGCGTCTACCTTCGACTTCTCACTGAGATATTTTCCTCCCTTCTTTTCACGTGCCCATACCACCTCAACCAGCTTCACGTGCTCTTTCTGTTGTCTTACATACCCCAGCTCATTTTATGTCATAACTCATTATATTATCCCTTAAGGCTATTCCGATCATCCAATGTAACATTCTTATTTCCGTCCTTTCCGGCACACTTTCTTCTTTCCTTCTCAATGCCCAATTCGTGCAACAGAACTGGCCTAACTACAGTCTTATATATCTTAATTTTCTGTTTATTTGGCATTTTCTTGCCACAAACGATTCTGGAAACACTGTTAAACTTCTATCATCTACACCTTACTCTCTATCTTACTTCCATATCGCATCGTCTCGTTTTTAAGTAAGTCAAGGTATTTAACCTTATCTGTTTGGGTTATCTCCAATCTTTTATTCTGACCAATTGCTCTCCTCCTTTACCTCTATCTTCCATGTATTTACCTTAAGTCTACCACTCTCCAACTGTTCCTACCACAACCTATATCTCACCTGTAAGTTCTCCTCGTAGTGGCCACAATCACTAGATCGTCAGCAAATAACAATTTCCACAGCCCTCCTCTTCTGATATATCCTGAAAGGTTATCCATTACGGTTATAAATAAGAATGAGTTAAGAATTGACATCTGAAGCAATCTTAACTTTACTTCGAATTCATAAGAATATCCTTGTTTTATTCTTTACTCACGTCTTTACACCAAAGGAAATTGAGAAGGTGTAAAGACGTGAGTAAGAACTTTACACCTTCTTACTCACGTCTTTACACCTTCTTACTTTCCTTTCTTTACACCTTCTTACTCACGTCTTTACACCTTCTTACTTTCCTTTCTTTACACCTTCTTACTCACGTCTTTACACCTTCTTAATTTCCTTTCTTTACACCTTCTTAATTTTCTTTCTTTACACCTTCTTACTCGCGTCTTTACACTTTCTTACTTTCCTTGGATCATTCTGACAGTTTTTCCGGAACTCCTTTCTTTCCTAAACACCAATAAACGATACGCCTTCTCCGTGTCCACAAAACACCAGTATAACATTCCATTTCCCGCAACTGTCTTGCAATGAATATTGCATCAACTGTTCCTTTTCTTGGCATAAAACCAAAGTGTTTCTCATCTATTGATATGATCTTCCTTAACCGCTTTTCAACCATTCTCTCGAATATTTTAAGTACATGCTCAATTACCTTAATTGCTGTATAATTACCACATTCCAATACATCACCCTTCTGTTTAAGTATAGTTACCACTGTGTCTTCTAGAATTTTATTCACATCCCATACTACCTACACACCATATCCATACTTTCTTCACCGATATATATATATAACTCATTTGTAGACCATTAAATACCCAAGATTATTATATTGGAATTCGTGTGTTTACAATAACAACCGCGATGTCATAGTAAACAGAGTTTGATTAAATAAGCTATTTAAATATTTCAGCTTCAAACAGGCTAAAGAGAATTAGAAATTATTTCACCAGTGTAAAAATTGATAATTTCATTATTCGTAACAGAAAAATCCACCTACTTAACCAAGTGCGATATGTGTTTCATGTTAATCCTTGATCCACTACATACTTAACCAAGTACGATATGTGTTTCATGTTAATCCTTAATCCACTACCTACTTAACCAAGTACGATATGTGTTTCATCTTAATCCTTAATTCACTACCTACTTTACTAAGTGCGATATGTTTTTCATGTTAATCCTTAATCCACTACCTACTTTACTAAGTGCGATATGTATTTCATGTTAATCCTTAATCCACTACCTACTTAACCAAGTACGATATGTGTTTCATGTTAATCCTTGATCCACTACCTACTTAACCAAGTACGATATGTGTTTCATGTTAATCCTTAATCCACTACCTACTTTACTAAGTACGATATGTTCTTCATCTTAATCCTTGATCCACTACCTACTTTACTAAGTGTGATATGTTTCATGTTAATCCTTAATTCACTACCTACTTAACCAAGTACGATATGTGTTTCATGTTAATCCTTAATCTACTACCTACTTAACCAAGTACGATATATTTTTCATGTTAGTCCTTAATTCACTACCTACTTAACCAAGTACGATATGTGTTTCATGTTAATCCTTGATCCACTACCTACTTTACTAAGTGCGATATGTGTTTCATGTTAATCCTTAATTCACTACCTACTTTACTAAGTGCGATATGTGTTTCATGTTAATCCTTAATCCACTACCTACTTTACTAAGTGCGATATGTGTTTCATGTTAATCCTTAATCCACTATCTACTTAACCAAGTAAGATATGTGTTTCATGTTAATCCTTAATCCACTACCTAGTTAACCAAGTACGATATGTGTTTCATGTTAATCCTTAATTCACTACCTACTTTATTAAGTGCGATGTGCTCTTCATATTAATCCCTAATCCGCCACCTCCTTCACCAAGTACGATGTGTACTGTATGTTAATTCCTAATCCGCATTGATAAGCGTTATTTTTTATCCCTAACTTATTTTCAATAGTTTTATAACCACACTTGTATTCTGTTTGTCATCCCAGAGTTCATGGGTTGATAGTTACCTTTCATAGCTCTACCAAAATTATTAGTTTTACTTTTGACCAATACAACTTTGTTATTAATTCTAAAATAGCAAAAAAATAACATTTAACCTCGTCTTTTATATAAGTTAGACCATCGTCCCTTCCTTCAGCATGTTGTTTACCATTTGTTGACAACTCCATTTTAACCAATAAAAATGGAAGCTTTGGTTCTACCACTTCACATATACTAAGTCCACCATAAACACGCATGAGCGGCACTCGTCGCATATCGGTAAGAATGCTGGGTAGAGAAACTGGAGGCTCCCACGGATTAGTAAGAGACGCCCAGGCTGACTTTGCCTCAGAGACGGAGAAGACAAGACAGGGAAGAGGCACGTCCCACTGATCCTGATAAATCTGGAATGATCCAGATTCACTAAAGCACAACGACTTGGAGAGAGTAAAGAGTACAGGAACTGGTATGTAGTATTTATGATTACACATTTAGAGATGATTTAAACAAAGGTCTAGTCTTTTTGTCTGTAATATTTTAAACCGGAACAGGTAAAAACAAGTACATACCAAACATACTTGAAAAACATACAGTAGATATGTCACTTTACAACTGATCAGTAGGTTGAAACATGTTCTACTGATCAGCAGAATCAAACATGTTATACAAACCATTAAAATGAAACATGTTATTCAAACAAGTTTAAAGAAACATGCTTTACAAACCATTAAAATGAAACAGAGTTATAGAAAAAAGCAGATTGAAACATGATTATACAAATCAGTAGAGTTAAACATGATTATACAACCAGAAGAGTAAACATGGTTAGAAATACCATTGGAACAATCATGGTTATACATACATACCATTAGAATGAACCTGGTTTTACATAAATGCTTTTAGAATAAACATGGTTATACATACCATTATAATAAATAT